ATCTGGTGTGGCAATTAATTGATTGCCTTATCCGAAATATGATGTTTGTTTGTTATGTTGCTCTTGTGTCTGTCTCTTATACACATCTTAAAAAATAAAATGACTGTTTTCTGGTGTCAATGTACTAAGTATTCAGCCAAATAAAATACTAGTTTCACATCCAAACATGACATATCAGATATTTTGGATCATGTCGCTGCTCTAGTAACACTAAATCTGATCTACACTGCTAAAATAATGAAATATGAAGATTTTCTGATTGATATGGACCACTAACAGCTAAAAAAAAAAAAAAAAAAAAAAAATTACACAGAGTTGTGAGCAAGAAATCAGGCCTAACAATAAGCTCACCTCCATTAATTGTTGCATCTGTGGGTTACTCATCAACATCTGCCTAAGCATCTCTGGATTCTGCATCATATTCTGCACTAATGGATTCTCCATCACTTGCTGTAACATCTCTGGATTATTCAAAAGCTACAGCACAACAAAATAAAAACATGCAACATTATGCAAGGCATACTGTGTGCTCCATATTAGCATTCCACAACCCAGTTTATGGAACGTTGCTTTATGTTACAACATAAATTAGTTGAAACTGTTCCGACAGAAAGCAGTAAATCAATTCTAGAACAAAGTTTAGATATTAAGAAACTATTATTTCTTTGGCTTTTTTTTCAGTTTGGCATTTCCCCCATTGTCAATAGATACAGAATTAATCAACAAACAACTACTACAGTACTTCAACAATAAAACAACATTATTAATCATTTATCAACAACTAATCTGACAAAAAAGAAATTATTTTAAGTATGAATTTTAAAGAAAATAATCTGGCAACAAGTACACTTACTTGTTGTTGCATTTGTTGTTGCATTTCCATAAAATTAGCTGATCCTAGGCCCATGCCCCCTAGACCACCAAGTCCACTACCAAACAGGTTGGATTGTTGTGTTTGACTCGTAGGAGGTGGGGCAGTACTAGTGGATGAGCTGGACTGAGATTGCTGGGCATGTTGAGCTGCTTGTTCTTGGGCCTAAATAGTGTGGTAAAATGTAATACTCATATTAACATTCATTTTACAACTTCATTGATATACAGTAAGATAAGATAACTTTTGTAGAAAGGAAAGTAGAATAGGTTTATCACATTTTATAGACATTTACAAGACATTTATAACTAAGCTAAAAATAATTCATGTATCCAAAGGTCATAGATTTAAAGAATACAAAATAATTCCAATGTTTTTTTTAAGTGTTAAGAACGCATCTGCAGGAAATGTTTGTAGATCCCAAGTACTGTATCTGTTTTGCTAATTTTACATAATACTTACATAAATAATTATATCATCAAAGACATGTGAGCTTACCTTGTTAGCAGATCTGATGACTAAATGCACTGTCAAACCATCCTTGATACCTAAAAAACATACCACAAATAAGTAAGTTTCAGTTGAAATATAATGATTAACACTGCTACAAGAAAAACCATTACAATATAACCTAGCAACAATGAGAATAATAATATACAAATGAAGAACAGACAAAAGAAATATGTAGATGTCAGATTTGGAAGGAAAAAGAAATAACTATTAATAAGATTAACATTATTATTAAATTATTATTATTCGATAATAAGACTTCTTAATTATACTTGTGGGATTCTTTATATTTATGAATGGTACGAAAGTAAACATACCAGGCCCAGTGGGATCAAGAGACCAGGACCACTGTCAAAATTGCTAATTTTATTCATAAATACTGTACAAGCAAAACTTAGTATCCCCCTCATGCTGACATTTTAAAATCCTAAATAGGCCCATGTATGTATACTAGTTGCTTCTACATTTTTTTCTGGGATTCTTTATAATTATAAATGGTACCCAAGTAAACATACAGTACCAGGCCCAGTGGGGATCAAGAGACCAGAGCCACTGTCAAAATTGCCAATTTTATTCATAAATACTACAGTATACAAGCAAAAATTAGTAGCCCCATCATGTTGGCATTTATTAAAATCCTAAGAGGCCCATGTATGTATTCTAGTTGCTTATACATTAAACCTCAGATTATCAGTACATTAGGATGCATACCATGCTTGACTATTGTATCTGTGTCCTTCAATATTTTGCCCGCAAATATAAGACATAGTTGTTCCACTGGAGTATTATTAAACTTCTTTGAAACTTCATCTTTAAACTGTAAAAAAAAAGAAAATCTCATAAATTAATAATGGTAATATTAGTTTACTAAATAAAATCAACATTATTATCATAATTGAATCATTATTTATTGGTGGTGTTTTCTTTACTATCTCAGAGCTAATAAGATACAATTACACCAAATATCTTACAGAACATGGAAACACACAGGATGACAGCTGACAGGTCCACCCACTCTGTTAAGTGATAGATGTTGCAAACGCCAACTGCAAATTGTCTATGCGGTGGAAGTCCATGCGGATCATTATTAACACACATTTCATTGCATTGTAGTCTATGGACTTGCGATGACAGCTGTTGGTTGACATGGTTTGTGCCCGGCTTGAACCAACTTTTGATTTCACCAGATTATCATGGAACAAGCCCACTTATTGCTTGAAACTAATGAAGCCTTTCAGTGTTCAGCCACTTGGATGTTTGAAAAAAGACTGATCAATCGATGATACTTATTCGTTATGCAAGTCTTTAATCACTGTGTACAGTATAGGCCCCTACTTCTCCGTTAAAATAGACCACCAATATAGTTTGAGAAAGCAAAATCAAATCAAACCAACTAAACTACTGTAACAGTACTGTACAAGCAAAACCCAATTCCATACCTCATTAGTATCTTAAATCAGCAGAATACTCAAAATATATTTGACGTAGCTATTGAAAACTGAGGGTGGGTGTTAGAATTTTTAGGGTGGGTTTGGCATGAACGTATGTACACTTTGGTGCGAAGAGCGCCAACCGAGCGAGGGCCGAAGAACCGAAATGGGGGAATGGGTTTCAGAGGAGGCAAACCCCCCGAAGCACTGGGATTCTTGCTGTATAGAGAGCCAAAATGTTCGACTTGGGTAATGTAACTTAACAATTTACTTAGTTTTGATTGCGTATAAAAATATGTACGTACCTAATTTTATTAAAGTCAAGGACGAATACTAGCCTATGCGACATAACTACTATTCTTTATTCCAGGATATGAGAGTCATTTATGCAAGTAATATAATTTTAATTAATCAAGAAAACAAAAACAATAACTTATTTTTAAAGACAAGGACTACTAGCCTTTGTAACATTGGTCATCATCATGTAATCATCATAATAATGTCTACTTTTCTTCCGTTTAGTTCTGTTTCGTGCAATTGCAATACAGTAGTCATTGACTACAGTAGTAATAAATAAATCTAATGCCGAGATAATGAACTCAGTGTATTTTATTTGCTAATAAAATTACTCCATAAATTAGATTAAAGAAATTATGGAAACAATTTCACATGTATCTCCTATCCTTTATTATTTAACATATCTTGTTGATTTTCACTAGTTCAAAATATCTGTACGACTGGTGGTGGGCGATGGTAACAATCTCCTGATAGTATGCTAGGGACTTAACCATTTTCAGTCGTTAATTACAGCCTGAATGCAAATTAACATCGACTTGCTCACGAGCTTTGCTTCACTAAAAGCGAAATGAATAAGAATAGTAAGATCCATGGTTACAGTGGCTATATCGTGAGAAACAAACATCACTCGTACAACTACACCCTGCTTTTATTTTTACACGTCAATTCTACCAAGCTGTCCCCGCATTCCACAGCCCTCTGGGACATTCAATAGGGAAACAGTAGTAGTTGATGCCTCCACGCAAGGCTTTATTTAGTCGGAGAAAATTAATCTGACTTTAAACTGTTAATTAACCACCAGTAGGCTTACCAGCGCTACATACAGTTAGCGCTAGTCTGGCTAGAGAGACTTTAGTGATATTATAAACTTACCGCAATGTATTACACACTGTCACGGTAAAATGATTAAAGATCTTGAAATCATTGCAACAAGTAAATCAAAACAATAACATGCCTGTTTACTCAACGTTGTAAGACTGAGCATGCTGTTTTAAAACGACATTCGTGGAAAACGGTCTTAACATTTGACATCAATTTTTTTTAAACTAGCCTGGCTATGTCAAAAGTAATAATAATAATAATTTCCAGCTTACCCCCACTGGAAAAATCACGTCAAATTTCACCTATGAGGGGTACCCAATGAGTGTTTCACGGTTTTTGGCCAGGGCAGTGCATGCTTGTGATAGATGCCAATATTTAGCGGCCGTTCCGTTCCCAGTATGGGGAATCCCTGTTTTTACGTACTTGGCGGTCATGAACTTTAAACTGGAATACGTAAGGAACGTCCATCCATACACCGCGTTTAAAATGGTTCACTGTACAATACAATCTGCAATGATTACTCGTGCTAGAGGTGTGCCTGGGCTTGCAAACTTTATTATTTACAGTAAAGTACTTCATATATAGTAAAGATGGAACCAAAGTTATGATAAAAAACAATAGTCTAGGCATCGTTAGTTTGACAAGTCGGGGCATTTTCGGCTAAACCTTAGACTGCCCCAATTTGCAGATGCTTGAAAAAAATTTCCTGAAGGCCTGCAAAGCCCAAAGGAAATTTTTGAATGTATTAAATCTAACCCAAGTATAATAATTTTCCGCTAGTGTACGATGCATGCTCTAATTGCTTTATAAGTCAATCGCCGTCTTTTAATGTTAGTTTTTATAACCAACTGTG